GCAGTCCGAGTCGAAGCCCGCTGTGGAGCCGGGCGGCAGCCGCCGCGGCCTTGGCCGCCCCCGGAGAGCTGGGTTCGGGGGCGAACATAGAGGCCGGGACCGGCGAGTCCATCGGGGAGCGACTCCGCTCCGCCGCCATCTTTAATAACTTAGGCTAATTCGTAGCCGACCTGCCCTCCCTCCTCAGATCATTTGACTAATATATGCGGACCCCGCCCTCAAAGCTCATCAGAATAATTTATGCGAAACTTCTCCCGCCGCGTAGAGGGTGACACGTATCTCTAGCGAAGAAACAACCGACCAGGCCTCTCAGCCACCAATCGCTGCAGCTCTTCCAAGTAGCTAGTGAATAATTAATAAGGCCCAAACCCCAACAAATGTCTGAGACGTCACGCGCTTCGATCGCATCTTGGGAGGGGGCAGCATCGTGTCCACGCTACCTGCCTGGAGCCTTGTCGCCAATGGGAGCAAAGCGGAGTACGACTGACACAGCAGCCATCCAGTGAGGAGAGAAATACACACAACGTTTACCCTCACCGCCCATCACTCTCCTTGTTTCCAGATGAGGCGGTGCTCAGCTTCCAAATCTTGCTGCAAAACAGTCGGGGGCGAGAGCTTTACGATGACAGACAGGGGTAAGGCCCAATCCAGAATTCGGATAAGTCCCGCGCCTCGGGCCACCGCCCACAGAGATAGTAAACTGCGCAAGGTGCCTCCCACTCAACTCATTGACTCCGGGCAGTCACTGAAGACAGACTTTCGATGTGCTGGCAATCTCCAGGCAATTTTACTGGTAGGATCGATGCCTGGAATACTACAGCGGCTAAAGCGAGGAACTTAAACCTCAGACCTTAGGGAGAATTCTCCATTCACTGTTTCTGCGGAAAGAGCAATTTACGCGACCAAAATGCGGCAATCTGCTCAAATAGAAGCACCTCATTACATTTGTGAACTGTAAGGCCGAGAAATAGCGTCTGTTAAGGTAGTTTCCTATGGGTGATTCTTCCAGTGTCATGAGCGTGGAAAACCCCAATCCAAAATACTATCAACACAAGTTTTAGTGTCGTCTGAATTCCAGTTTCAAAAGACTGAAAAGCTTGATGACATTAGAGGTTAGTCAAACTCTAATAATGCTATGGCCACTCGTCCTAAGCAACAAGCAAGAAAGAGCAACCATTTCAGAAAATAACGTACCCAGATTTAGGGTTTTGGAATACAAGATTTAGCGAGCAAGAGGCAGGGTTCCAAATGGCCTTCAGTTTCAGGGATCTACTTGAGGGTTGAGAGGCAACCTCTTCTTGTTCCTGTTTGCAACTACAATCAAATTTTATCTCTACAAACACAGCTGGGAATCTCGGACAAGGAGTCATGCAGCTCCAAAGGTCTTAATAGTAGTTCTTCATTTTTTTTCTGGCTAAATTGCTCACAACTATCCTACATATGCCTCCGTGAGATAGATAAAAATATTAAAATTTCAATTTGGCAGAAGAGACAAATGTCATGGCATTATACTAAAGAATAATGTTGATATTTAGCATCTTATCAACTGGCTCTTCCAGAAAGAGTTCAAGTTCAGAATGTGCTGACATCAGATGGTAGGCTAAAAAAAATGCCCTTCTCACTATAGGGTTTTGCCCAGAAAAAAAAATTCTCAGAGAAGGTGCTTCTTGAGTTGAATAGAGAAGTTTGAAATCACATTTTAGAGAGGGAATTCCTTACCATCCTTACATCCTCTTTCTGAAGACAGGTTAGAACCTAGGTTCAAATCCTAGGTCCATTACTTACTAGCTATGTGACATCAAGCAAGTTAATTAACCTCTCTGCTTCAGTTATTGCCTCAAAAAATTTAAAAAAAAGTGGATAGTTAGTAGTAAATGAGTTAATATACACAAAACACTTAGTGCTTACAAGCCTCAATTATGAATTTTATGCAATTATAACTGTAACCCTTAGGTGGCTAACAAGTTACAAAATTTTAAGATAATTCAAAAGTTGTCTGTCTCAGGGCAAAGGACTCCCAATCATGTGGTAGGCAGTCAAGCATGTGTGTTAAGTGATTAATTCTGTGCTGAGTTTCATGGCGGTGTTAAAAAGAAACAAGCCCCAAACGGAGTCACTTGTGTTAAGCCCCACCAAGATTTAACATCTAACCTAATTGCAGCTTCAGCCTCTATCAGGAGTGGAATCTTAAAAGAATCAGTCTGGATTTTCCTAAGCAACACTAGTAAGGTAATCTGCCTGATAAGACCTTTTGCCTTCCTATAAGGGAATGTGACCTTCCCTGAAACAATCCACTCTTTCTTCTGCCTATTAAAAATCTTCCATTTTGTGCAGCTCCTAGGAGCACTTTTCTACTTACTAGACGGGATGCTGCCCGATTCATGAATTGTTTAACAAAGCCAATTAGATTTTCAAATTTACTCAGTTGAATTTTGTTTTTACAGTGTTACAATTTGTTTTACAGTGTTGAAACAGGGTTAAAGAAATAACTGAATTGTTAAGGGAGATCTTTTCCTTTATTGTTTTTCCAATTTTCTGAACAAAAACCCAAAGGGAAAACAACTAAAGTGGGTGATGAATATTTGCTGATGCCTTCCTCATGTCTTTGGGTAAGAAAAGGGCAAAAGATCCACGTGGGACTGAGTCCATCTTCCTGACACACAAGGCACTAAGATATGCCTTGAGCTAACTCAGAGAGGAAGGCTCTGGGGCCACCACCGTGAGACGAGAGAGGAGCCTGAAACCAAGATGACAGTGGTATGTGAGTGGAAAACTGAAATACGACACCAAAGAACTCAAACAGGACTCCATTCCACTTGAAACGTGACTCCCGGAGAGGCACTTACCATCAGAGCTCCTGGAAAGTGAGGGCGGTCGGGCCCACTAACCAATAGAATTTGCGCCCAACCGCGTAAGGTGGTTTGAAATCACCTGGTGAACGGCACGCTAGCCAAACATAAAACGGTCAGCGCAGGAGCAGCTAGTCCAGGTTGGCGAAAGCACTCTGCCCAAGAAGCCTGGTCAGAGAGAGGTGGGGTGGGAAGAATAACGAAGTGCAGCCGCAGGCCGGGTCGCCGCCCCGGAAAGGAGCCGACGCCCGGGGAAAGGGAGGGGAGGCGAGGGGCGGGACTCCCGCCTGCCGCCAGGCCAGCCCAGCCCCGGAAGAAACAGAGCCGAGGAACTGGGCACCAGCCCTACCTGCGGCAAGCGCCGGCATCGCGGCCGGGCTCCAAAGCCCGGCACCCCCAGGGAGCCCAACGCTGCCGCGCGGCGGCCACAACCCCGAAACCGGCGCCGCTG